AGGTATTCAGATAGAGAGTATTTAAAGAGAGAGAGAGAGCAGTCAGGGAGAGAGCAGTCAGAGAGAGTATTCAGATAGAGAGAGAGTATTCAGAGAGAGAGAGCAGAGAGAGAGAGCAGTCAGAGAGAGAGAGAGAATTCAGATAAAGAGTATTCAGAGAGAGAGGGAGCAGTCAGAGAGAGAGAGAGAGAGAATTCAGATAAAGAGTATTCAGAGAGAGAGAGAGCAGTCAGAGAGAGAGAGAGAATTCAGATAAAGAGTATTCAGAGAGAGAGAGAGCAGTCAGAGAGAGAGAGAGAGAATTCAGATAAAGAGTATTCAGAGAGAGAGAGAGCAGTCAGAGAGAGAGAGAGAATTCAGATAAAGAGTATTCAGAGAGAGAGGGAGCAGTCAGAGAGAGAGAGAGTATTCATATAAAGAGTATTCACAGACAGAGGGAGCAGTCAGAGAGAGAGAGAGAATTCAGATAAAGAGTATTCAGAGAGAGAGAGAGCAGTCAGAGAGAGAGAGAGAATTCAGATAAAGAGTATTCAGAGAGAGAGGGAGCAGTCAGAGAGAGAGAGAGAGAATTCAGATAAAGAGTATTCAGAGAGAGAGAGAGCAGTCAGAGAGAGATAGAGAATTCAGATAAAGAGTATTCAGAGAGAGAGGGAGCAGTCAGAGAGAGAGAGAGTATTCATATAAAGAGTATTCACAGACAGAGGGAGCAGTCAGAGAGAGAGAGAGAGAGTATTCAGAGGGAGAACGAATTCAGAGAGAGAGAGAGAGAAGTCAGATAGAGTGAGTATTGAGAGAGATCGAGAGTATTCAGAGGGAGAGAGAGCAGTCAGAGAGAGAGAGTATTGAGAAAGAAAGAGTATTCAGAGGGAAAGGTGCCCCGTGTGTGTTGCTGTATAGCGACTGAACCCCTCACCTGACACTGAGTTGGGAGTAATGTCTTACATTCATTTTGTGTTGATGCAGAGTTCTGCAGTTGTCTATAATAATAATAATTTCTGAGACTGTCACCCAGGAATTATTATTATTAGAGAACACTTAATATTATTCATGACCTCTATTGCAAAAAAATCATAAATGAAATGAGTTCTACAATAATAAGAATAAATATTTTGTCTAACTATAATTTTTATTGAGAACTTTCCATTATTATTATTGCATTAGTATTATAATTCTGCAATCATAATAATGAAATGCGTTTTCAATCATAATCATTATAATTAGACAAACATATTGATTATTAATTCAAAACTTGATTCATAGGCAAAAATATTTAATAATAATTATTATTGCAGGACTCATTTCATAGTTAGACAAAATATTAATTAATATTATTACATAACTAATTTCGGAGACAAACGACTAATTATTATTGTAGAACTCATTTCACAATAAGACACAACTATTTATTATTATTGCAGAACTCATAGTTAAACAAAAATATGTATTATTATTGCAGAGCTCATTTGGTAGTTGGACAAAAAGTGAACTTTGTTTTACTTGTTCAGGATTTTAGTTGAGATTTGTTTTATAAACTTCTGAAAGTTACAATATGTTTTCACGGCACAAACGGTCACTGTTTGTTTCGTTTATAATCTATTTATTTATCCTATTCTCCCCTCATTTTAGTGTTGGTTGTTTCTTCATTCAGAATTTTAAATAGATTTTTATTCATTTTAAATGGGTTTGACTCCTGAATCTCTTCCCTTTTTAATCTTAACTCATTTATTATTTCCTTTTTCTTCTCTCCCTTTTTATTTTCGCGTACATTTACCGCACCTTAACCTTTTTAAAAACTTTTTTTAATTTCAATTTTATTTTATTTTCTGATTTTTTCGCTTTTTTGTGAATCTTATTTATATAATTTCATTCACTAACCCTTTGTTTTTGTTTGTTCAATTTTCCCCTCTTTATTTTAAATAAAATCTGATTAGTTTTTTAATTGAATTATTAAGCCAGAGAGTGAATATCTCTGCTTTCCATTTCTGATTGCATCCTTTTAAAAATTTAGATAACATTTGATGCTATGATTTAAAATAATGCGAGCATTTCTGATAGCATTACTTTAAATCATAAAATAAAAATGATTTTATTTTTGGGGAACACTTCATTTTTAATTTACTGAATGCTATTTTTTATAGCTTGTTTTATTTGAGTTTTGTATTCTAAATTTATAATAAAACAATAATAATAATAATAATTATGTTTCTTCCACAGCCAATCCACTTCACGGTATATTCTGTGAAGCGCTTTGAGCCGTCTCAACAACACGATAAAGTGCTATATCAAATGCAAGGATTATTATCATTATTATTAATTTCTCATCGGGAGGACACCTCAAAGCACTTCATGGGATTTACTGTAAAGTGTATGACTGTATTTTGTAGGTGAAGATACCAACCAATTTGCACACAGGAACAATCCCACAATCAGCTATGAATTGACTGATTTTATTATTTTTATTATAAAAATATATTATTATTATTTAATGTACTTGCCCTTTGTTTTAACTTTTGTATGTTTCTTTCNAAAAAAATCCAATTTGAATTTGAATCTGTTTATACTGATTTTCCCCATTATTTTGAAAGTATTTAATTACCCTTATTTAACCTTTGATTTACATTTATTTGGAATTCTCCCTTTTTAAATATTCACAAAATTTGACTGATTTGGAGTCTTATTTTATAAGATTTTCATTTTCGCTTATTTCTGGGTTTTTCCTCCTTTTTTAAAGATCCATAGAAATTGACAGCACAGAAGTCGGTCATTTAATAATAATCCTTGCATTTGATATAACGCCTTATCAGACGTCTCAAAATGATTCACAGGATATACTATCAAGTGTATTTTGTGGGCAAATTGTGCCTGTGCTGGCTTCTTTAAGAGCAAATCTTTCAGTCCTATTTCCCTACCCTTTCCCCACACACTTGTTGACTCCTTTTTAAGATATTTTTCTAATTCCCTTTTGAAAGCTAATATGGATTCCACCTCAACCATCGCTCCCGGCAGCACATTCCATATCCTAACTACTCTGCGCTTAAGAAAAAAATCTCCTGAACTCCCCATTTGCTCATTTTCAAAATACCCAGTCAATCCACTTTACAATATATTCTGTGAAGCACTTTGAGACGTCTCAACGACATGATAAGGCGGTATATCGACTATAAGGATTATTATTATAACTATTTTAAATTGATGCTCTCTAGTAACTAACTCAACAAACAGATTTTAATTGTCTAAAACATATACCGTTTCAAATCTTGTTTTTAAATTGTTTTCACTTTAATTTATTCTGTTTTTTGCATTTGTTGTATTTTTTTCTTTAATTTGTTTAAAAGCAGTCTCTACACTTCATTAAATCCTGTGAAGTTTTTGAGATAATGTTACAAGTGATACTAATAATAATCCTTGCATTTGATCATTTTGTAGAGACATCTCAAAGCGCTTCACAAAATATACTGTAAAGTTGATTGACTGTGTATTTTGTGGGGAAACGTGATAAGTGATTATACTAAATGAGAGGATTAATTGTTTGTATTTTTAAAAATAATTTGTCTTTTTATGACTCTTAATTTTAACCATTTTATTTTCATTTATTCTGATTTTCCCCCTTTTTTTCAAGGATCCTGATTCTGGATCTTATTGTTTAATCTTTTTTATTTTAATTTATTCTATTTCGTTCCCTGTTTTCTCATTCACCAAAGTCACTGCACTTTTCTTGATGTATTGAGGCTGTATTAAATGCAAGGATTCTAATAATTATTATTAAATCGTTATTGAGACATCTCAAAGCGATTCATAGGATATACTGTAAAGTGAATTGACTGTGTACTTTGTGGGTGAAACAATAAACAGAAACTTATTTTTTCTAGTACATTTACAGATTCTAAATATTATTTTACACCCTTTTAATTTTTGTTTATTCTGATTTTCCCCCTTTTTATTTTCCAATAAATTTTACCAACTTATAAAATGTTATTTTATAGCTCCTTAATTTGCATTTAATGTGTTTTTTTAATGTGAGCGTTTCGCTCACAAAATACACAGTCAATACACTTTACAGTGTATCCTGTGAAGCATTTTGAAACATCTCAACGATGTGATAAAGCGCTATAAACAATTCTAAGTAGTATTATTATTGTTTTCTCTGTTCCATTTTCTAATACTGTAAATTGACTAATTCTGAATTTTATTTTAGAACCTTTTTAGTGTGCATTATTCTGTAGGGAGGGGGTTTCTTTTAATTTGTGATTATTGTTCCAATAATCGTGGAGTCCTGTAGCATAGTGATTAGAGCACTCGCCTCGCAAGGGAGAAGACCTGGATTCAATTCTCGGGCAGACAAAGCAATGGGCAAGTTTCCTTACTCCACACGCCTCTGTTTACTTAGCAGTAAGTAGGAACCCGATTGTTAGTCGATTGATGGATTGCTTTCTGGGGTAATAAATCCCTCCAAGAAAATAATAATGATAATTTGGTCACTTAATCCATGACTGTTCTTGGGACATGACTGTTTGTGGGACACTGCTGTGTGCAATTGGCTGCCGTGCCGTTTCACCCACAAAATATGCAGTCATTTCACTTTACAGTTTATTCCATGAAGCGTTTGAGACGTCTCAACAATGTGATAAAGTGCTATATCAACAGCAAGAATTATTTATTATTGTTATTTTATAACTTCTTAATTTGCATTTAGTGTGTTCTTTTTTCGCTTATATTTATTTTCCTTTCTAATAAATTGACTGATTCTTAATTTTATTTTGGAATCTTTTTATTGTGAATTATTCTGGAGGGGTGGGGGGGATTTGGTCCTTTTAATTATACATAATAGTAATAATAATAATCCTTGCATTTATATAGCATCCTTCACTCAGAGTACCATCCCACAGCGCTTGATATAAGACCTTATCACTGTAAAGTAGATTGAATTGTGTGCTGGAGATTGAGTAATTCAGTCCCAGTGAGGATGTGGTTAGAGGTATACTGTGTGTGTGTGTCTGTACCTGGGTTTCGGACAGGCTCAGACTGCCCGCCAACTGTTTCCTCTCAGCTCCCACCACATAGTGATTTTTCTCAAACGCCTTTTCCAACCTCAGGAGCTGGGACGGGGAGAAGGCGGTGCGGATGCGTTTGGGTTTCCGAGCGAAAGGTCCATGTAAGAGCAGTGTTTCGTGAGTGGCATCACCCCCTGATACACAGAGAGAGAGAGAGAGGGAGAGGTCAGCAGCGGCTCAGATTATTAAATCGTGTTGGTTTAAAGCTCGGTGTATAACCTGCTATAAATTACTGGTTAGATCCCAGAGGCTCCCTATAGCTGGAACTGAACACACCATTACTCGTTTGCTCTTCGCTCAATGATAATAATAATCCTTGCATTTGATATAGTGCTTCACAGAATATACTGTAAAATGAATTGGCTGTGTCTTATGTGGGAGAACCACGGCAGCCAATTGCACACAGCAGTGTCTCACAAACCGTTGTATTTATTTAATGATATTAGTTTCAATTCAAATGTTTCTCTTTCCCCCTTTACAGATTTCATTCTGTTATCAATTGCCACCGGCCGAGTGGAGCACTTGATAATCAAAAGAATCTTAGCATTTGAAATTGGGATTTCATGTCGGGAGGACATCTCAAAAGGCTTCACATAATTCACTGTCAAATGCAGTGACTACAATTGACAGGATCTTTAACGTCCACCTGAACAAGGCACAAATGGAGTGAGGTTTAACGTCTCATCTGAAGGACGGCATCTCTGACAATGAGGTGCTCTCTCTCCCCCCACAGCATTGGGCTGAAGCGTCACACACTGACACTTTATAATATACAATGACATTTTCAATGGAGAGGAACCCTGAGGTTATTATAACTTTAACCTGAACCTTCTGGGTTTATTTAGTCAATTTTACGTAAAATTCAGCACTCGCTTCACGGCTGTTTGTGAGGAAACTCACTGCCGCATTCACCTACACAGTCACTGCATTTCACAGTGAATCCGGTGAAGTGCTTTGAGATGTCCTTCTAAAGTAGAATGTTTTGTATGAGATGTAAACATTTTCATTATTCTATTTTTATTATTTTGATTATTATATTTATTATATGTGTTCCTGTGATTGTGTCTCTGATAGATAGAAATAGAGAGCTAAGTAGGTAGATAAAACCTCTCTCTCCCTTCTTCACTCTTACTGCCTTCTTTTCCTCCTTTCTACACCTCTCTCTCTCCCCCCTTCTCTCTCCTCTTTCCAGCGCCTTGGGACGTCCTCCCAACATGGTAGGTGCTAAATGAATGCAGTCTGTTGTTCCTCTCTCTCCTGTTCCCCTCTCTCCTACATCTCTGTCTCTCACACCTGTGTCGCTGATCTCTAACCACATCCAGTTGGGGTCAGACTGTGGGTGTAAAGCTCTTCATTGTTGGTTTCTTCCAAAATCTAACTGTTTAAACCAACTACAGGCGGTGAGAACTCACGTGTGTGGGTGATAATAATGATATAGTTTGATATAGCTCCTTATCACATCTTCAAGACGTCTCAAAGCGCATCGCAGAATGTACTTTAAGTGAATTGACCATATATTTTGTGGGCGAAACGTGATGTGTGCTTTGTGTGTGTTGTTGGGTGCTGTGTTTGGACTCTCTCTCTCAGTCTCTCTCACTCTCTGTCTCACTCTCTCTCTCAGTTTCACTCTCTCTGTCTCTCTCTAACCAGCCATTGCACACAGCGAAGAATAACCCTTTGATTACTCCCCACACCCCGCTCTCTCACTGTCTCCTCTGTCTCTCTATATATATAGAATTATATATACACCGTATATAATATGCAGTATATATATATATCAGTCTCCTCTCTCTCAGTCTCTCTCTGTCTGAGCCTCTTTGTCTCAGTCGCTCTCAGTCTGTCTCTCTCCCTCTCTCGCTCTGTCTCTCTGACTGATTCGGATTGCAATCTCCATTGATTCTGTTTCTTCCTCTCTCTCCCTCCCTCTCTCTCTCTGTGTCTCCCTCTCTGGATTTCTCTGTCTCTCTCTCTCTGTGTCTCTCTGTCTCTGTGTGTGTGTGTGTCTCTCTGTCTCTGTGTGTGTGTGTCTGTGTCTCTCTGTTTCTCTCTGTGGGTGTGGGTGTCTCTCTCTCTGTCTCTGTTTCTGTGTGTGTGTGTGTCTCTCTCTCTCTGCCTCGCTCTCTCTCTCTCTGTGTCTCTGTGTGTGTGTGTGTCTCTCTGTCTCTGTTTCTCTCTGTGTGTCTCTCTCTCTGTGCCTCTCTCTCTCTCTCTGTCTGTGTGTGTGTCTCTCTCTGTCTCTGTGTGTGTGTGTCTCTCTCTCTCTGTGCCTCTCTCTCTCTGTCTGTGTGTGTGTATCTCTGTGTGTGCCTCTCTCTCTCTCTCTGTCTGTGTGTGTGTGTGTGTCTCTCTCTCTCTCTCTCTGTCTCTCTCTCTCTGTGTGTGTGTGTGTCTCTCTCTCTCTCTCTCTGTGCCTCTCTCTCTCTCTGTGTGTGTGTGTCTCTCTCTGTCTCTGTTTCTCTGTGTGTGCCTCTCTCTCTCTCTCTGTCTGTGTGTGGGTGTGTGTCTCTCTCTCTCTCTGTCTGTGCCTCTCTCTCTCTGTCTGTGTGTGTCTCTCTCTCTCTCTCTCTGTGCCTCTCTCTCTCTGTCTGTATGTGTGTGTGTCTCTCTCTGTCTCTGTTTCTCTGTGTGTGCCTCTCTCTCTCTCTGTGTGCCTGTATGTGTGTGTGTCTCTCTCTGTCTATGTTTCTGTGTGTGTGTCTCTCTCTCTCTGTGTGTGTCTCTCTCTGTCTCTGTTTCTCTGTGTGTGTGTGTCTCTCTCTCAGTGCCTCTCTCTCTCTCTCTCTCTGTCTGTATGTGTGTGTCTCTCTCTCTGTCTCTGTGTGGGTGTCTCTCTCTGTCTGTGTGTGGGTGTGTCTCTCTGTGTCTCAGTTTGAGTCGCTCTCCCTCGAGTTCACAAAATTGTTACAAAGATTGTTTGAAAAAATAGACAATCTGGAGAATAATTGCCAAACCTTCCAGACAAAAATATATATAAAGAGAGAGAGAGAGAGACGGGCATACAGAGAGAGAGATACAGATTATTATTATATAGAGAGAGACACACAGACATACATAGAGATACAGATATACTGTGTGTATATATTATATAGAGAGAGACACACAGACATACAGAGAGAGATACTTATATACTGAGTGTATATATAATACTAATTGTTATATAGAGGGACACAAATATACAGAGAGAGAGACACAGATATACTGTGTGTATATATTATTATATAGAGGGACACACAGACATTCAGAGAGAGACACAGGTATACTGTGTATATATATAATACTAATTATTATTATTATTGTATACAGGGACACACACAGATATACAGACACGGGATTCCTCACGGTGGGCTGTGTGTGACTCACAAACAGGGCTATTAACCTGAATTACACTTATTATTTAATAACCTCCATCCTGAGTCACTCCTCCCTCTCCTGCCTCACCAATTTATTTTCTCTTTTTCACTCCTTCTCACACTCCTCTCTTTCACAGTCGCTCTCACCATCTCTACACGGTGACCCCCTCCTCACACAGCGGCACTTAGTTTGATCGTTTGAGACCCGGGAGGGAGGCAGAGAGGAGGGGAGAGAGGGGGAGAGAGGGGAGAGAGGGGGAGAGAGGAGGGGAGAGAGGGCAGAGAGGAGGGGAGAGAGGGGGAGGGAGGAGGGGAGAGAGGGGGAGAGAGGGGGAGAGAGGAGGGGAGAGAGGAGGGGAGAGAGGGCAGAGAGGAGGGGAGAGAGGGGGAGGGAGGGGGGGAGAGGGGGAGAGAGGAGGGGAGAGAGGGGGAGAGAGGAGGGGAGAGGGGGGAGAGAGGGCAGAGAGGAGGGAGGGGAGAGAGGAGGGCAGAGAGGAGGGGAGAGAGGAGAGAGGGAGGGAGGCAGTGAGAGAGATAGAGAGATCTGTCACACTCATACAGGGTGTGTAAGTGTGCAAGCTGAGAGAGGGAGGAGATAGAGAGGGGAGGAGAGAGAGAGAGAGAGAGGAGAGAGATTCTAACACAGCTCACCTTAACTGCTGACAAACCAGATCAGAGACTGGTCAGCAGCTCAGTGCCAAGTGAAGGCTTTAAACCAGGTAAAAGATTCTTAACCGAGCCTGTGTGTGAGGGGTGGGAGTGTGTGTGTGTGTGTGTGTGTGTGTGTGTGTTGGATGGAGCCAGACACACAGTGAAGTGACTGACATACAGTCACCTCTCTCTCTCTCTCTCTGCAGCCATGCTCTGAGCTGAGCTGATCTGATCTGATCTCATCAACACTCCGCTGACTTTATCATCAACTTTTTTATATATATATATATATATATATATACACACGCACATATATTTATATGTATTTTGTGGAGGAGGGGGGCGTTTTATTGCCAAGAAAAAAGTAAGTAACCCTAAGTGGATTTTTTTTTCCCCCCAAGGAATCAACAACAACAAAAAAATCTCTCTGGTGGGAGTTCAAATAAACTTTTTGCGTATATATCATATACAATTGTGTGTGTGTGTGTGTGTGTGTGTGTACACACCGTCTGTGCAATTATATATATTATATACTCACACACACACACACACACACACATATATATATATATATATATAATGTTCCAACCCACGGCTAAGAGATGTTTCACTATCGAGTCGCTGGTGGCGAAGGATATCCCCCTCTCCCTGGAGGACAGTGTCCGGGCACCGGCGGCTCTCGCCTATCCCACCGCTTCGGAGGCGTTCGGGAGCGGTTACCCGGCGGTGGGGAGGTCCCTGTATCCGCGCCCGGAGCTGCTGTTCCCGGAGGCGGTCAGTCAGCCCAGTCTGCCCGCCCCGCCGGACCCCCGCCTCCAGCACAGCTTCTTCACCCCTCAGCACTCCGACCCCCTGAACTTCTACCCCTGGGTCCTCAGGAACAGGTTCTTCGGGCACAGATTTCAAGGTAAGACACGTCGTCCACACACACACACACACACTGTGTGCACATACACACACATATACACACGTGAATATACTGCACAGAGAGAGAGGGAGAGGGAGGGGGGAGAGAGAGAGAGAGAGGGGTAGGAGGAGAGGGGTAGAGAGAGAGAGAGAGAGGGGTAGAGGGGTAGGAGGAGAGGGGTAGAGAGAGAGAGAGAGGGGTAGAGGGGTAGGAGGAGAGGGGTAGAGAGAGAGAGAGAGGGGTAGAGGGGTAGGAGGAGAGAGGGGTAGAGAGAGAGGGACACACAGGGAGACATAGATGGAGAGAGAATGAGAGGGAGAGAGGAAAGAGAGGGACAGAGAGAGAGAGAGCGAAAGAGAAAGAGAGAGGAAGACAGGAGAAGGGAGAGAGAGAAAGAGAGAAAGGAGAGAGAGAAAGAAGGAGAGAAATAGAAAGAGACAGAGCGTGAAATGGGAAGAGAGGAAACGAGAGGGTTTGGAGGAAAGAGGGGGTGAAAGAAAAAGAAGAGAAGAGAGAAGAGAGAGAGAGAGGGGGAAAGATGTATTAAAGCGTTCCCCGAAGGTACGCGAGAGCCCCGACTCTGTGCTCCAGAGAGAGCGGAATATCTTTCGCTATTAGCGATTCGATAGAGAAACATCTCTTAGCAGTTGGTGGGAACATTATTCACACACATATATATATATATATAACTTTTTGTGTGTATATATATATGTCTAAATATATACAGCGCCTTGAGACGTCTTCCCGACGTGAAAACTTCTGTACAATTGTATTAATTTTAATACAAAAAAGAGAAAAGAAAAGAGGGAGAGAGAGAGGAGAGAGAGAGGGGAAAAGGACAAGGAGACAGCAGAAGGGAGAGTGGGAGGGAGAGAGAGAGAGAGAGAGGAAGGTAGAAGAAGGGAAAGAAAGAGTGAGTTGAGAGAGAGAAAGGAAGAAAGAGAAAAGGGAGGGATGGGAGAAAAAGAGAAGAAAAAGAAAAAGGGGCGAAAGAAAGAGAAGGAATGAGAGAGAGAGAGAGAGAGGAAGAAAGTACGAGAGATGTCTTAAAAGAATTATTAATAATAATAATCCTTGCATTTGATATAGCGCCTTATCACGCAGTTGAAATGTCTCAAAACGCTTCGCAGAATATACTGTAAAGTGTAGTTAGTGACTGTATTTTGTGGGTAAAAGTTTTTGTTGAATGAATTATCCTTTATTTGTACACACGCCTTTCTTTATTCACAATTGTTTTCTTAAATTAATTAACAATATTAATAACAATAATAATAATCCTAGCATTTGATCCTCATTTGTACGTCGGGAGCATGTCTCAAAGCACTTCATGAAGGTCACTGTAAAGTGTAGTGACTGTGTAGTCCCACAGCAGTGGAGGAAATAATCTCACTCTGGGTCCAACTCAAAAAC